TGATCAAGACTATCTCTGCACTCACATTTTTCTCTATTAATCTCACTTTTGAGGCTGAGGATCATGTAAGCTTGATGAATCATAGGAATTCTTGAGAGTAGTTGTTGACCATACCTAGTTCTTACAGGTTCAGTTGGTGAACGACAGTGGCCAGTTGTTCATAGTTACTAAGTTTTGGAATATCTGAGTTCTTTTGAAAGCTTCCATGAAGGATAAACATGAGATTTCTAGTCTGTAGTACTTAGGATACAATCTTCTTAATAGTGATGGTCATTTGTAGGCGTGTGTGTGTGTGTGTGTGTGTGTGTGTGTGTATTTGTGTATTGATAGTGATCAATAATCAGAGGAACTGAACACAGTGTGTGTTGCTTGTCTGCCTTACCTTATTTGTATATTTTTCTGACTTAATTTTATTCTACTATTCTTTTTTGCTTTACTTCAGCCACTTTTCATCTTGTTAGTGTGTGTGTGCATGTGCATGTGGGTGTGTGAGTATGTATAAAATTTAGATGGTTCCAAAAACTCCTTCTTGAGAGCTGATTGAATCATGGGTTATAAATTCAACAGTGGGTTGGTCCCCTTGATGAATTCATAGCTGAATGGACTTTTAGAAAGTGTGACCAGGTTGGATGAGGTGGGTCTCTGGGGATATGGCCTTAAATCTCTCTCTTTCTCTCTCTCTCTCTCTCTCTCTCTCTCTCTCTCTCTCTCTCTCTCTCTCTCTCTCTCTCTCTCTCTCCCTCTTTCTCTGCAGCTGTCATATTTGTTGGGTCTGAGAGTCATTCCACAAACCACATGAACACCAGTCTCAGTCAGAGTAGAATCCTTTATTGAACACATACTGATCAGATCAGAGACGTAGCTCAGAATTATCTGAACTATGACAACAAACATTTCTCAGGGCAGGCTTATAAAGGAAAAAAAAACCCACAGAACCCACAATGAGCTCACACACGGGTGCAGAAAGTGCTGCCCAGGGGTTAGCTCTGTTTCAAGCCGTTTTAGACTAACAATTCATATTGACCTTCAACCTAATGAGTCCTACTTAAAGCTTTGTAGAATTAAGATTAACAAACCTCAGAACATACAGAACATAGCAAGGGATACAGTCAGCATGCCCCTGCTCTGAGTCAAGTTATTTTCTGTGTCAATGACTGGCAGACATACTGTAGCAACAATATGAAATAGCTGCCAGGCATGGAACAAAATGGCTACATCTATGCTGGGGAAACAGGCTTCAACAATGCTGTCTCTTGTTATCCCACTCTCTTGCTATCTCTCTTTCTCCTCTCTTTCTTTGGTGCCTTTTTCCATCCTTGTCATGACATCCTACTTTGCTGAGGTCCAGAAACAGGAGATCTAAGCAACTGTAGGTGAAAGCACTGGTGAAACAGATGAACATATCTGAACCTTTCCTCCTCTAAGTGGCCTCAGGTATTTTGTCATAGCAAAGAAAAGTTGATGGCAACACTATGTATGTTCCCTACCTCAAAGTCTTTACAGCTGCTGCCCCTTCTATATCTTATGCTGTTTCCCAAGTACCCGGAACCTGTTTCCTTAATCTTTCTGTGAGTAGAGCTGCTCAGTAGAAAAGCCAACAGGTAAACAAGGAGGAAGAAATGCATAATTTCCATCTGTAAAACAGATAATATTCATCGCTTATTTCCAAACCAGAAACTAATGTTGCAAAAGAGAGGTCCCTTTCTTTTGCATGAAATGATGAGTTATCTCAGGTATTACATAGCATGTACAATTAAATCAAGCTTAATAATTAATGGATTTCCTGGAAAAGAAGAAAAGAAGATGGTGAGCACAAAAGCCACCAAAGAAGTCACTAGTTGCATAACAACTACTCTGGGTGAAATGTATTATTTAAAGCCATTCAATCATGGCCTTATCTTTTCTAATTCTTGCAGGATGCCTCCAAATGAAATCATCTGACTGCATCACTGAGACAGCATTAGGATTTGGGAAGCATGTTAACAAGCACTAACTGCAGCCACTCCGAAGAAAACACCATTAATCATGTCATCTGATAAGAGATGCATCAGGTGTGCTTAGACATTTATACTCATACAAGGTTCCTGTAAGCACTCCTTCCCACATTACGGATTATGCATCTTTATTGTGAAGGAGAGATGAATATTGTTTAGTCTGATTTCTCAAAATACAGCCTACCCAAGATGCTGTTGGTTTCCAGTTGTAGATGCTGTCCAGGACAATTTTCTTTGCCCATTTGCAGCTCAGTTGCTCCAAAATGTAAAGTTTCTATTTCATCAGTCACGTACTGGGAATAGATAAAACAAGCAAGCAAAAAAGCAAACAAAAACAACCTACAAGAGTGACCCTTTGCTTTTTAAAAAATACATGAAAAGCATTAAATTGTTATCTAAGAAATTACTGTTCGATTTATCCTTCATTAGGCAATTTTCTATCAACTTAAAAACATCAGCAGAAACAAAGGAGCCGAGAATCTAAGGTTCTATTGTCTTTTCATTGTCTGCTCCTGCCTCTTCTGAGATGGCTGCTTGTACTCATGAATCACATACCTAATTTCCTTTGCAAAAGGTTATCCAAGCATGCCCTGGGGCTTTGATCCAGAGCATGCTTTACCAATAATGAGTTTTTTTTTCATTTTTCTTTTTTTCTTTTCTTTTCTTTTCTTTTCTTTTCTTTCTTTCTTTCTTTCTTTCTTTCTTTCTTTCTTTATTTATTTATTTATTTATTTTGCAAATCTACCTAGGCTGAGAACCTACAGAGAGATTGGGTCCTGGCTCCTGGCTCTGTTCGCTGGGTTGTTCCTTCCATATGTTTGGCGTTTCCTCTTGTTCTATTATAAATAGGAGGGAGGATTGAAATTGTATCTACAACATTTAGGCCGAAATCTCTTAAGCCAAACGATGTTCAAGTTCACCACTTATAGATTGTTTTCTGTTCAAAGTAGAACATAATTTAACTGTTTTCTGCCACTTTATAACAAGCATAGACATTCTTCTAGTTTACAATAATCTACTGCCCATTTTGTTTTGAGGCTTCACCAGGAATACATTTGCTATTCATAGTTTGCTAGTAATCTGTTTATGGTGACATATATACCTACACATGCTCTTAAACACAGACATACACCTACTCACACTCAAATACATATGCATCCAATATCCATGCATGCATTCATATGTGTACACTCATGTACTTTCACACATACCACACAAACACTCACACATATGTACATTCACACATTCACATCACAAATACGCATATATGTGCACACACACACACACACACTTCAAAGCAATCTAGCAGTTTTTTCCCTGTCTTTTTGCCTACATGTATGTCTGTGTACAAGATGTGTGCAAGGTGCCCACGGAGACCAGAAGAACATTGGTCTGGAGTTACTTTGTATTCTGGAGAAAATTTGTCTCAAATAATTGGTTGTTTGAAATTGACACACTTCCTTTAAATAGAGGAATCATGTTAAAATGAGTGCTAGAGTCTTAAAGTTACACTGTAGTGTATAGTACATGTACACATATGCACAATCAAGGAATTTACATATTTTCTTCAGGGATGTAGGAGGATTAGAGCATTACGAAGCTATTGATACAACATGAAGACACCGTATGCACTGCTATGCTCTGGATAGATGAAAGAATGCATGAAGTCCACTAAAAGTTATGGCAAGAGGCTCATTCTCCACTTCAGAGAACATCAGTAGCCTGCAGGAGGGGATGCCAAGGCAAGAGATGAGGAAAGCATCTCCACAGGGACTCATGCTAATGATTATCCGAAAAACTTGATACAGTTACGTGCCTCCTTCCCCTAACATGACCAGTTACTCCATTAAATGGGGCATGTGTCTGAGATTCCTGTAAGTATACATGGCTGTGTTTCAAGAATTGAACCCCTGCAGCATTGTGTGTATATTCCTCATTCTACTGCTATAGCTTTGATTTATTATACGGTAACAAAATACAACCTCAAAAGGTCCTTGAGGAATTTTGCTCACCCTTTTTTCAGATGAACGTTGAGAAAAGCCTGTCAAGTCTGTGTTACAAAAAAATTCCTATCAGGATTTTAATTGGGTTTGTGCTAAGTAGATAATTTGAAGAAGCGGTCAGAATGCAGTTTCATTCTTCCTGTTCAGGTTTCTAGTACATTCAGTTTAGGCATTTTCCGTCTTTCTTAGCAAGTGTTTTGTAAGTTTGCATGGGGTTTATTACTAGTGATAGGTTTTGTTGCTTTAGGCTGTGGATATATGTAATATGTATGTTTGTATGTGTGTGTGTATATATGTATGTATGTATGTATATTGTGATAGGGTCTTACTATGTATCTTAGGGTCTCTGGCCTGGAACTCACTATGTAGAATAAGACAACCCTGAACTCTCAGTTCTCCCACCTTGACTTCCCAAATTCTGAGCTTTTAGTAAACTCAAGCAATATTTTTTGAAAGGAACTGTAATGGCAAAATTTCTTAATCTTTTAATGCTAAAGAAGATTTGTAAATGCTCTAATACTGCCTTCAAATTTGAACACAGAAATTAAGGCTTGGAATATTTCTTTAGAAGTACAAAGACATTTTCCATCCCATTTGTTACCCGGTAATTCAAATGAGAAGTCAGATAACACTTTGAATATTGCTTCTTTAAATCTGCCTTGGTTTTGTTTTATCCTTTAGAAATTCTTGGGGCTTTTTTCTATTTTCCTGGAGATGAGAAACTTCACACAATCTTTGTTGCCATGCACTTCCACACACACAACACATTGGCTTTCCTTAAAAGAAATGAGAACATCAACTCAAAATGCAAAGCTAGGGTCTTTGAGAAGGCCAGTCTACCACAGAGAAGGAAGATGAGACACAAATGTTGAAACTAGCCAGAAGGCTCTTCAGCGCCACCTAGACTCTACCGTGGTGCCAGTAGACAGCTACAGCAAAACAATGCAATATTACAGATCACCTATCATTGATAAGTGCAAGAGACATTGCTTTTGATAAGACTATGGTTTGTTAAACACTTGAACCAAGTTGAATTTGCCCAGGAAGCACATGCCTGGGACAGCTAAAGAGAATGGAGGTTGTAGGATTAGGAATCTAAGATGAGTCTCCGAATAGATAGTCACAGTCTTCTTTCTCAAAGAACACTAGCTGTACTTTGCTGGGTAGGCTCAGTGAGCTCAATGGTGGCTTAAACTGGAAGCTGCCATTGCCTTCCAGTGAGTTTAGAATAGAGGAGAATGGTTAAGAAGCCCAGGGTGCTTGCTGAAGTTTACCATAGACTCTGGTGAACTTGGGCATGTGATTATGTGTGTGTTAGATCAAGTGGCTTTGTAGCTGACTTGTCCTTTGGTAGTATGTTGCAATATGTTGCAAGATCAGAAACCTTGTGACAATGGGGCTTTGTGAAACTTCAAAGCTCACAAAATCAAAGAAGCCAGAATGAAATGACCAAGCAAGGAAACCCACAATCTCCTATCTACTGAGGCCACCGTGGACCCAACTGGGTCTCTGACAGAACATTTCATCAAGTACAGAAGCAAAATAAAATCAACAGGGTTTATTTTTATTTTATCTTACTGTGTTTAAATTTCATGTCATTCCATTACAAGGGAACGTGACTGAACAGGTAGGAAACAGATTCTCCGTTATGGGTTCTCCGGATGGCTTCAGCAAGAATCATGGAGATGTCAATCACCTGGATTTTGCTACACTGCTTCATTTTGTCTTCTTGAGGTATGGTGTTAGTGACCACCACTGCTTCAAAGCATGCACCATTGATGCGAGCAATGGCTGGGCCAGAAAAGATTCCATGAGTCAAGATGGCATAAACTCTGGTAGCTCCCTCTGAGAGAAGTTTGTCAGCCGCGTAACAGATTGTGCCACACGTATCAGCCATGTCATCTACAAGGATAGCCACCCGATCCTTTACATCACCCACAAGCACCATGCGGTCCACTTCATTGGCTTTCTTCCGTTCTTTGTGAATCAAGGCAAAATCCACATTCAAATGGTCAGCGATGGAAGTGACCCTCTTGGCTCCGCCAGCATCAGGAGAGACAATTGTGCAGTTCCTCCAGTCAGAAATATTCTCCTTTATCCACTTCAGAACAGCTGGCTCTGCATACAAATTGTCTACCGGGATGTCAAAAAACCCCTGAATCTGAGAAGCATGTAGGTCCATGGTGATAATGTGATCTGCACCTGCTATAGACAGCATATTCGCCACGAGCTTCGCAGAGATGGGAGCCCGGCTCTTATCCTTTTTATCCTGCCGAGCGTAAGGGAAGCACGGGATGACTGCAGTCACCCGACTGGCTGAAGCGATCTTGCAGGCATTAATCATGATCAGAAGTTCCATTAGACTGTCGTTGATTTCACCACAACCGCTCTGAACGATGTAGACATCTTCTCCACGCACACTCTCGCCAATTTCCACGCAGGTCTCCTGGTTGCTGAATTTCTTAGTTACCACCTTGCCGAGCTCGAGGCTCAGGCGCTCGGTAATCTTCTGGGATAAGTCCTGGTGGGAGCTGCCACTGAAGATTTTGATGTTTGGCATCTTAGCCAGAGATCCTAGACACAAAACTTCCGTCTTGAAAGGGAAATTGGACCACAGACTAACAGTTTCCTGGCATTGCACAGTGGGTGGTTACAAAGCCGTTACCCGTCCTGTCCCTTCCCCTAACGGTTGTGCTGATCTGACCTCAAGCCTTTTGAGAGAGAAGAGAGAAAGAGAGAGAAAAGAGAGAGAGAAAGAGAAAAAGAGAGAGAAAAAAAGAGAGAGGAAGGGAGGGAGGAAGGGAGGGAGGGAGAGAGAGAGAGAGAGAAACAAAAATAAGTTTTACTGGCATCTATTGAACACTTTCAAATTAAGAAGACTTTATAGTCCATGGGAATTTCTTATTGTTACTAATTTTTCTTGTTTTCTTTTTTCCCCCAGATAGACATTTCCTGTATAGCCGTAGCTTTCCTAGAATTAGCTTTATGATCAGGCTGGCCTCATACCCTTTAATTCCTCTCAAGTGCTGGAATTTTAGGTATGGCTAATTGTTATTAACATTTTGGAAATTTTAAATGTGAATACATGGAAAAACAAAACAGGGCTCTAAACAAGTTTAAAAGTTTGAAGCTGGAGGAGTTTCGCACAGTGTTGTTTAGTCTATTTCTTCAAGAGAGTGAAAAGACAAAAGGTTGGAAAATGGTATGGATGGGATTCTATTCCAGAGGATTTGCAAGGACCCCCAGGATACATAATAGAGGAGTTGCTTCCTGAGCAACTCCCTTGGGTCAGCTGACTTCCTGCAAATGTATCAGAATATGCCCCCCCACCAAGGGCTACATGTATCCTGGCATAGCTGGGAATGTAGCTCACCATGTTTGTAGATGGCAACATCTCTGTTGAGGTTTAAGATGAGTAGGAACTAGCAACTAATCTTGATATTTAAAGAAACTGAGACTCAAATCCAGCAAGTGGTCATCAATAAGTAAATTATTTAAAAAAATTTATTGTATACAACAAAGCCTGCTTGCTTGCAGACTTCTATTTTTACATGTTGAATGAGATATTATTCTAAAGTCACATAAACAACAATGTCTATGTTAAAATGTTACATCAATAAAGCATGGTGATGATCTGAGCACATCCCTCTTGACATGATAATACCTTTCTTTCCTCTTCAGTTCATGTTCTTTGTGGTTAGCAATCCATGCCAACTGCTTTCTGTTCACAGCTCTTCCTTCATTCATGTTCTTCGCTTCAAAACAAATCAAACAGAGACACCTGTGCCATGTAATTCATCCCAAATGAGCTATATACAGTGATTTGTACAGAAAATCCTGTAGCTTAATTTAGAAGCACTAAAAGTACTTGCAGCCTCAATTAAATTGATTTTTCTTTTAGTGTTCTCAGTATGACACACATTTTCGGTTTTTAATGAAAAACAAAACAGATTTTTAAATAGATTTAATATTACCTAAATAGGACTGAATACTAATGTAAACATTTAAAACCCATAGTTGGTTATATTTTTTCTCAGGTTGTTAAGTAGAAGCCATTTTTGTCTTGCTGTTATTTTTGTTCCAAGACTGGCTGCTGCTATGCCTTGGATTTGTCTAGAATCATAATAGGTTAAGGATGGAAATAGTTTCAGAGGCCATACAACCATATTAATAACCCGGTTCACAGCCAGGAAACTGAGTCACCAAGGAAACTCCTACCTATGATCTTCTGACTCACTACAGCTCAGTATGTACCAGGATGTGCTCTTCCTCTCTTCCTAGATTTCTAAGCATGGCTTTTACTGCTCTGTCCTGTTAGGCCCCCTCTCCTCCCCACTCTCAAGTTTATTAGGATGATGGGGGGGGGAGTATGCAGAAATACCTGCACATGTACCATGTACTTAGCAAGTAACTACAACAAAGAACAGATATGAGCCTGAATGTCATGTTGTTTAAACAAACCTCTAATATTTCCAGAAAGAAACAAACCACTAGTATGATACATTGTTTTCCTGACCTGTTTCTCACTCGGATATATCATCCAGGGATTTCACATTTGTCCCCTTTGTTCTATAGGTTGAGGGAGAAAACTTATCATGGTGGACTGCTTCTGGAAAGAGACATAAAGGGATGATACACTTTGTGTAACACATCTCTCTGCTAATGTGTTCCTTCTTAGTAAATTGCCCTAGGACTCAGGATGGTGAAGGGGAGGAAGGGCCCCATCTTTCCCCTTCCCAAAACAAGAGTGTTAAAGTGTCATGCTCACAGATCCGTGAGAATTGTTGCACTTCGAAGGTCTTTTGAGTCAATAACCAGAATACACACATTTCCTTGGTAATCATATCTTGCTTTACTGATTGTTTTTTTACCCTTCACAATCCCAACATAAATAATTCAAAGACAGTTCTGATGCAGCTTGATCAGCTAAGGAGAAAAGAAATCCAGGCAGTCATTTCAGAGAGTGAGGAAAATGGTTGTGTTTTAAGTTAAATAAATGCTTTCACTAAACACACTTACAGTTGACAAAATGCGAGATGTTTAGGTGGCAATTATAGTTCTTTGATAAACTGTCAAATCTTGTCACAACACATGTTACAAACAAGGACAGATTTAGATGTCCTTTCTGACAGCTTTGTGTAGGTTGGGAACGTGTGGCAGTTAATTTCAAGCAAGGAACATATTTTTCTTTCCAGCAGTTATCTTCTTTGTTGATTAGGAAGACTTTCTTTGTGCCTTTAATCTTCCTCATTGACTCACAGTCCCAGAACATTATTTTACCACTGCCTCAGTTCATCTATTTTATTCATAACCATCAACCGCAATACTTGGAGAGAACGCTTTCCCGCTGAGGTTCACGCTCTGTAGAAATGCTCTAAAGTTTGTTCTGTGATTGTTTACAATTGGAATTGACGACTGTGTGTGTTTATCAAGCTTTTTGTTGGAAATCTGTCATCTTACATAATAGATGTGTAGGTAACAGAGAGGTAAATAAGGCATAGAGAAACAAACAGGAGCCAGGGTGGAAGTTCTGTGGTTCAAAAACAGAGTTTAGATTGTGAGTGTTGTGTTGAGACTCAGGAAGACGTTTTAGGACTGTACATTGGAGTTTGTTTTAAAAGTCCAGCAAAGCAGACAATCTTAGTATGAAGTAGTAATCATGGAATACGGATGAGATTCCAGGAGCTAAAAAAATACACCATTGTAATGACAGTCAAAGCAGTCTGTAGAGAGATTCTGGAACTACCACATTGCAAATAAGAAAATCTGTCTCTTATAGCTTTGTGAAATAATTTGAGAGTGTTTCAAAGTAGATTCCAAACTGACCATTGCTTTTTCTTGTATAATCATAGATCTTTTACAATCGAAAGTACTTGTGTACTTTCACACAAGTAATAAAAAGCTATGTTAATGAGATTTAAGAACACACAACTTCTAATTATGATATGCAAGTCTCTTTTAAAATGTACTTTTTTAGCACTCAGGAGGCAGGGTTAGGTGAATCCCTGTGAGTTCAAGGCTGGCCTGGTCAACAGAGCAAGTTTCAGGCCAATCAAGATTACATAATAAAACCTTGTCTCAAAAAAATAAAAAGTGTACTTTTTTGATGCTTTCAAGGGCAAAGAAGAAACATATCTGTGGTGGTTTAAATAAAACCAGATACACTGAAACTAATAGAAGAGAAAGTGGGGAAGAGCCTTGAATACATAGGCACAGGAGAAAAGTTCCTGAACAGAACACCAATGGCTTATGCTCTAAGATCAAGAATTGACAGATGGGACCTCATAAAACTGCAAAGCTTCTGTAAGGCAAAGGACACTGTCAATAGGACAAAACGACAACCAACAAATTGGGAAAAGATCTTTACCAATCCTACATCTGATAGAGGGCTAATATCCAATATATACAAAGAACTCAAGAAATTAGACTCAAGACAAGCGAATAACCCTATTAAAAATGGAGTACAGAGCCAAACATAGACTATTTTCTAACAATCTGTTTCTCATTGATTTTTGTCCCCACTGCATCCTGCATCCTCTCCTCTGAGGCTCGCTTTAAGTTTACTTATACTCTTCCTTTTTCTTTTCTTCCTCTTCTTCTTTTTCTGCCTCTTCTTCCTCCTCCTCCTCCTCTTCATCATTGTGTGTGTGTGTGTGTGTGTATCTTTTGTGTGTGATTGCAAGTGAGTGGAGGTGACAACTTCGTGGAGTTAGTTCTTGGGATCAATTTCAAGTTCCCAGGCTTGTGTGCCAAACACCTTTTCCCTCTGATCCATGTCATTGGCCTCTTATTTTCTCTTACTGATGACTCCTATGCTATCAACCTAGCCTACTGACTTTTAAATGTTAGTTACTTTTAGTTAGTTTTCTTTTGGAAGTCACTTGATTGAGTCCCTTTGCAGTGTTGCTGGGGGAATCTTTTAGAAGTTGTTATTCTTCACAGTTGTCTTCAAACTTGCTCTTACTTGACAAGTTTTTCTTTTTTTGTTTTTGTTTGTTTTTTATTTTTACAGAAAACAATAAAATTAGCTGTGTCTAATCACTTGACTCTATGTCAATTAGAAGCAGCTGATATTTATTTTTCTGTTCATGACAACTTCTCTCCTGTTATTTTGCTTGTTTATGTTTGAACTGCCATGGTATGAGAATTTACTTGAGGACATTGTTCAAAATAAAAAAAAAAAAATGTAAGTTTCTCTTTCCAGAATTTGCTTCTGATTTTCACCTGAGTTGCTGTTAGTTTGGGGCCACTAATTTCCCCAGGGTCGATATGCCCCTAGATTCAGAATTACCAAAAAGGGCCCCTGCTACAGCGCCTAGAGATCCCCCTCATCTCCTTCCTAGTATCATTTGTTTCTCTCAGCCTCACTAGTCACTACAGCTTGCTGCAGTCTGTGCGTTGGATCTCCTTCTGTCTCACTATACCTCTGAAGACTCTGAAGATACACAGCTCTGCTGGCCTAGTTTAATCAATAGAAATTCTTCTAGGCATCTCACCCCGAGAAGACCCTTGAGCCTTAACTTCTACCTGGCTTGGCCAATGACATTTTAAAAAATGAAGCCTGAGATTATAGCGGCTGGTGGTTCTTCCGAGACTGACTTCCGTGATTCGACAGCTCAGGTAGCAGGAGCCAACCCTCATATCTCCTCCCAGTATGATGACGTTATTTGAATAGCAGTGTCTTGGCCA